ATTACTCTGATTCCAAAGCCAGAAAAAGACACTACAATAAAACTATATGCCAATATTTCTAATGAATATAAATGCAACAAATCTCAACAAAGTGAATTCAACAGCACATTAAAATGATCATACATCATGACCAAGTGGGATTTATCCTTGGGGCATGAGGATAGTTGAACATATGATAATCAATGAATGTGACACAAAACTTTGCTGAAAGAAATTAAAGAAACAAGTAAATGTAAAGATATATCTTGTTTGTGGAATAGAAGACTTAATACTGTCAAAACACCTGTGGTACCCAAAACAACCTACAGATTCAATGTTATCCCTAAAAATCCCAAGGCCATTTTTTACAGAAACAAAATCATCTATCTTTAAAAAGAGAAGAGACTCAGATAATTTTTTCAATGTTTGTTTATTTTTGTGAGAGAAAGAGATGGGGGGAGGGTCAGAGAGAGAGGGAGACAGAGGATTTGAAGTGGGTTCTGCACTGACAGCAGAAAACTCATGAACCAAGAGATCATGAGCTGAGCTGAAGTCAGACACTTAACAGACTGAGCCACCCAGGCGCCCCAAGACTCAAATAATTTTAATGTGAATTCTACTAAATCTTCTTAGAACAAAAAAAAACCCACACCTATAATATGAAAACTATTCCAGAGCATATAAAAATGAAAATTTTTTCTCAATTTATTTTACAAGGCCAGAGTAATCAATCCTAATACCAAAACAGGACAAAGATGGTACTTACACACCTGAAAGAAAACTACATGTTAAGGTAGAGAGATACAAAATCCTAAATAGAAGTATTAGCAAGAGTGATGTCAGCAGCATGGTGTAATAAGACATCTGTTGTTTTTGCACCCTCTACCCCAAGAATCATTTAGCATCCATCCCACAGACAAAAGTGGCTTTGTGGGAGCTGTAGGATGATCCAGCTCCATATGCCAAGTGACTCAGGAAGAGTCTAAACCACTCATGCATTGGGTAAAGGGCATATAGACTTTGTTCCCAGGTATGAACCCTATAGTGGCCTGTCAACTGGCTCCCGTCCATCTTGGCCACAGTTCAGGAGTCCTTGGAAAACAATGATTTAGACAAGATCATGACCCAAGCCAAAGTACGATGCTTAATTGATTGAGCCACTCAAGTGCCCGAGCATCTGGCAAAATTTAACATTTATGATTAAAAATTCTCAACAGATTGAGTATAGAAAAGATACATCAACATAATAAAGGTCACAAAGGACAAGCTATGACAACATCCACAATGGTGAAAGGTTGAAAGCTTTTCTACTAAGATCAGGAATGAGACAAAGGTGCTGACTCTCACCACTCATATTCATCATAATACTGGAAGTCCTAGCCAGAGCATTTAGACAAGAAAAAGAAATAAAAGGCATCCACATTGGAAAGGAAAAAAGTCAAATTATCTTTGCAGGTGATATGCTTTTATATCTAGAAAGTCTTAAATACTCCACCAAAACCTATTAGAGATAATCAATGAATCCAGAAAAGTTGCAGGATATAAAAACAAAACAGGGGTGCCTGGGTGGCCCAGTTGGTTAAGCGTCCGGCTTTGGCTCAGGTCATGATTTCGTGGTTCATGAGTTTGAGCCCTATGTCATGCTCTGTGCTGACAGCTCGGAGCCTGGAGCCTGCTCTGGATTATGTCTCCCTCTTTTCTCTGTCCCTTCCTTGCTCATGCTCTCTTTCTCAAAAATAAATAAACATTAAAAAATAAAATAAAATAAAATAAAATAAACACAAACAGTTGCATTTCTATATACTAACAACAAGAAAAAGAAATAAAGAAAACTATCCCATTTACATTAGCATCAAAAACAATAAAATACATAGGAATAAATTTACCAAGCAGGTGAAAGATCTGTACACTGAAAATAAGAATTGCATGGAAAAAAACTGAAGACACAGATAAATGGAAAGATATCCTGTGTTCATTGATCAGAAGAACTGATATGGTTAAAATGTCCATACTACTCAAAGCCATCTATAGATTCACTGCAACACCTATCAAAATTCCAATGACATGTTTTACAGAAATAGAAAAACAATCCTAAAATTCCTATGGAGTCACAAAATACCCCGACTAGTCAGAGCAATCTCAAGAAAGAACTTAGCTGGAGGCATCATACTTCCGGAATTCAAACAATAATATAAAACTATATAATTAAAAACAGCATGATGCCAGCATTAAAAAACAGACATGCAGTCCAATGGAACATAATCAAAAGGTCAGAAATAAGCCCATGCATAAAGGGTCAACTAATATTTGACAAGGGTGCCAAGAATACTCAATGGGGAAATGACAGTGTCTTTGATAAACTGTGGTGGGAAAACTGGATAACCACATGCGCAAGAATAAAAGTGGACCCCTGTCTTACACCATGCACAAAAATTAACTTGAAAAGGATTAAAGACTTAAAGTAAGACGGAAGCCAAAAAACTCCAAGGAGAGAACATAGGAAAAAAGTTCTTTCATATTGGTCCTGGAGATGATTTTCTGGATATTATACCAAAAGCACAAGCATATAAAAATGAAAAAATTTTTTCTCAATTTATTTTACAAGGCCAGAGTAATCTTAATACCTAAACAGGACAAAGATGGTACTTACACACCTGAAAGAAAACTACTTATTAAGGTAGAGAGATACAAAATCCTAAATAAAAATATTAGCAAGAGTGATGTCAGCAAAAATAAGTGGGACTATACTAATTTTAAAAACTACTGGGGCACCTGGGTGGCTCAGTCAGTTAAGTGGTGACTTTGGCTCAGGTCATGATCTCATGTTTTGTGAGTCTGAGCCCTGCATTGGGCTCTGTGCTGACAGCACGGAGCCTGGAGCCTGCTTCAGATTCTGTGTCTCCTCTCTCTGCACCTCCCTGCTTGACTCTGTCTCTGTCTCTCTCAAACATAAAACATTAAAAAATTAAAAAAAAAAAAAAAACCTTCTGCACAGCAAAAGACACAAACAGTAAAACAAACAAAAAGAAACTATGGAATAGAAGACAGTATCTGCAAATCATATATCTGATAAGGGGCTAATTTCCATAATATATAAAGAACTTATACAACCCAACAGTAAAAAACCAAACAACCCAATTAAAAAAATGGGCAGAGAAAAGGTGCTCAACATCACATGTCATCAGGGAAATAAAAATCAAAGCCACAATGCAATATACCTCACATGTGTTAGAATGGCTATCATTAAAAAGACAAGAAATACCAAGTGTTGGCAAGGATGTGGAGAAAAGGAAGCCCTTGTGTGCCGTTGGTGGGAGTGCAAATTGATATAGCCAGTAAAGAAAACAGTATCGACATTCCTCAATAGATTAAAAATAGAACTACCATATGACCCAGCCATTTCTTTTCTGGGTATTCATGCCTTTCTCTATGAGAAAGAAGGAAAAGCTGCCATTTACAACAACTTAGATGAAACTTGAGGACACTATGTTATGTGAAATAAGAAAAACACAAATACTGTATTCTATCAATTATATATGGAACCAAAAAAGCCAAACTCAGAAACACAGATTAGAATGTTGATTACCACAAGCTGAAGGATTGGAGAAAATGGAGAGATGTTGATCAAATAGTACAAACTTTGGAGATCTAATGTACAGAAGGGTCATTATAGTTAACAATATAATATCCTTAAGTATTGCTAAGGGAATAAATCTTAAGAAATCTCACCACCGAAAAGAAATGGTAATTACATGAATTGATAGAGGTTTTTGCTAAGGCTTTGGTGGCAATCATTTCCCAATATATCAGTGTATCACGGTACACCTTAAAATTACACAATGCTACATACATCTCAATCATATCTCAAAAAATTATAGTAAAACAAATCAACAGTGATCAAATAAGTTTCATTCCAGGAATAAAAAATAATTCCACACAGGAAAATCTGTTAATGTAATTCAGAACACTAGTAGATTAAAGGAGGAAATATACATGGTAATAGTATTTGGATTATAGTATTTTTTTTTAACATTTATTCTGAGAGACAGAGTACACGCATGTACGTGAGCAGAAGGGCAGAAAAAGAGAGGGAGAGAGAGAATCCTAAGCAGGCCCCATGCTGTCAGTACAGAGCCTGATGTGGGGCTAGATCTCACAAGCCATGAAATCATGACCTGAGTCAAAATCAAGAGTTGGACACTTAACTGACCAAGCCACCCAGGCGCCCCGAGATTATAGTATCTTGAAAAATTATTTCCTGATTATTGTCTACCACTCTACACAAACTCTTGTTTTCTCCTTCTGGAATTTCTACTGAGTGCTTGTTATTATAGAAGGTTCTTCTATGACTATGAATTATTATTATTATGAATTATTTCTTTCTAGAAGATTCAATTTACCTCATTCTCAAATATTTTGATGTTCAGCATCTTTGTTAAATTTTCAACCCTTATACTGAACAGGGTTTATTACAAAGTGTACATAAACCCCCAAAACTAGAGGTTTTCTGATGGCAGCATGCATGCCTGGTACTGGTGGCCATTTGAAGTTGCACCTGTGTCTCCAGAGAAGCAAACCTAAAACACAGTTCCCATAGTCACTGACAACAAGGGTGAACCTGCCAATCAGTTACTACACTCTGCCAGTTTCCAGGGTCCCCAGATTGTTACTGACAAACAATAAACATTAACATTTGTATGACTTAATCAGCTAAAAACTTCAGATGAAGTCGAAGGCTCCATTTATTTTAATCCCTGTCCAATCCCATTTTTCAATTCTTTCCCAGAAGCAACCACTATTATAAATTCTAGACCATGTTTTTTCTATACCTTTACCATATACATCCATCTACAGCAACCAGTGCCCCAAACCACCCATCTTACCCCAAACCACATAACCACACTATTCATAAGGGGAAGTGAAAGTTTTCTAATGACAATATGCATGTCCTGCACAGGGGACCAAAGGCAAATCACTCTCATATCCAGTAGGAAGCCAGCCTAAGATTAAGTTTCTCTTACCACTATTGCCCACAGTGAGCTTGTTAAAGAGGTACTCTGCCATAATGGCTTCTGGGGTCCCTTTCTTGCTATCTAGAATCAAAAAATATTAGTATTTACTTATTTTGATAAAGTAAAAGTTTTCAGGGTAAAGTAGAAGACCTCCTTTATTTTAATCCCTGCCCAATCCCATTTCCTTCACTCTTTCCCCAGATCAACCTCAGTCATAACTTTCAGGCAATGTTTTTATACTTTTACTATGCATAGGTTCCCACATTCTTCAGGGCTCTAAACCACCACCACCCACACTGCTTATGAGGGGAAGATTAATTTTGTGTCTTCCAGGGTCCCATGGAATACCTTCTCCCTCCATTTCTGGAGATCCTCAGCTGCATATGGATAGGGTTGGGTGGGTGGAGAGACTCCTGGATACCTACTATAAAACTTAAAAGGTGAAAGATGTGCATACACATCAACCAGAGACCTTTATTTATTTTGGAGCAAAATAACTTTATTGCAACCAAGTAACTTTATGGCAAAACTGGAAGGAAAAAAACTGGAACGTTTTGCAAGTGCAATACTGCAAAATGCA